GTATAAACATCAGAGGTCCGCGGTTGTTCAATGTCCTACTAGCGACTATAAGAAATATTGCCGGAACAACCGTGGACATCTTCAAGAGAAAACTAGACTGTTTTCTAAAAGAAGTTCCGGACCAACTGGGCTGTGGTGGGTATGTGGACCTGCGGGCCGCTCCAAGCAACAGCCTGGTGGACCAAACACTCACAAGTCGAGCCTGGCCTCGGTAGAAGTACCCCCATCAGTACCCCATCAAGCAGGTATCAAGCAGCTTCTGTCCTGTGGTGGCATTAAGTGGCTTCCCCTCCCAGAGCTTTTGGCGCTAGTGGGGCAGGCTGCTTCTCCTGCACTCCGTCGGGCCATCTTGGAGTGGGTGAGCTTTGGCGTGGTCAAAACGACCGCTTCCTTAAGATGGGTTTCCTGCCTATTAACTGCCCTAAAACGTGACTGTGCAGATCTGAGGTTCATTCTGGACTTGTCCCGCCTGAACCTCTGGATCTTTTGCCCCTCTTTTCGGATGACATCTCTGTCCCAGGTCCGGCTTTGCTTGCAGCTGGATGCTTGGATGGTATCTCTGGACCTAAGGGATGCATATTGGCACGTCCCACTTCATCTGGGTGTGTTCAGAGACTGGATAGGTTTAGTTGTGGGGCGTCAGGCTCACCATCAGGTTCGGGTACAGGTACGTTCAGGTACCCCATCCAGCTTGGTGAACTGGAGAAAGTCTGTCTGGTTCCCTCTCAGGTTTGGTCTTGGCTGGGGTCTTCTTTGAGATTCTCGGACCGCTTCCTTGTCTCTCCTTCCGGAGAGACTGCTGCAGCTGAGGTCCTGCGTTCACCCGTTTCTGGGGGGCTCCCGGGTTTGTGCGGGAGTCGGAACTGAACAGGAGCCAGCTGTTCTGGCTCCTTCAGGAAAACCCCTTCTGCCCCTCCCGCGATCGGTAGGTTCACCCTCCAGGTGCCTTACGTCGGCTGCTGCATCACCAACTTCCTCTTCAGGTTTTTCAAGGTTCAGTCAGTGCCTTGGCGCCTGAGCCCCTCGCTCGAGGTCTTCACAGACGCGTCGTCTCTTGGCTGGGGCTTTGTGATCAGTGCTCACCAGGTCAGCCAGGGGCGGTGAGGTCCGTCCTTCCGTTGGGCCCACAAGACAGTGTGGGAGTTCACGGCGGTGTGGCAGACGGTTCGAAGGGCTCGGGTCGCTTGGGGTTTGATGATTTGGCTTCATTGGGACTGCTCCCCTGTGGTTCATTGAACCGTAGGTGTTTGATGTGGTCCTTGGCTCTTTGGGGTGGTTTGCTTCGGGTGACTCGTCTGCCGAGTTCTCGGGGTTTGGCTCTCCTGGCCGTTCACGTTTGGGGGTGTTCAATGTCCTGGCAGATGGCCTGTCTCGGTTCATTTTCCCTGTCCACCGAATGGACGGTCAATGCTGACTCGTTCAGTTGGCTCTGCTGGATGTACGGGCTCCCAGAGGTGGAACTCTTCACGCCAGTGTGGTCAAGGCGTCTCCCGGTATATGTGGCACCCTTCCTCGACTGCAAGGCCATCAGGGTTGATGCCTTCAGGCAGGACTTGTCGAGGTGGGGTTACCTGTACCTCTTCCCCCCAGTTCTGCTGATCTCCAGATCTTAGCACGCTTGGAGACTTACCTAGGGGGAGTAGTCCTCTTGGCCTCCTTGGTGGCCAGCCCAGCCTTGGTTTCAGGCGCTGATTGCTCAGTGTCCGTACCCAAGGGTCTTGCCACGGTTCCACCTCTTTCAGCAGATCGGGCCAGTCCGTTACGTAGCTGGTTCGATCTCCTAAAGTCTTTGCGTCTGGTTTTTCTGACGCGGGTCTATCACCATTTGTATGGTGAGAAGGTGGCTTTGTTTATGGTGTTCCACCTGCGTGTCTTGTCTCGGTGGCAGTATGAAGTTTCCTGGCGGTCCTTTCATTATTTTTTGCCCCTTCGTAGGTTTTCTTCTGTTTTGGATCGAGTTGTCTTGTTCTTCCTGTCTTGATTGTTTTAGGACAGTCATCTTATGCAGAGTACTGTCATCTCATATAGTGCGGCACTGGTAAAGCCACTTCAGCTTGCATTAGGGGGTGGATGTTACTTCTGCCCCGTTCCACAAGCTGTCTCGTGCATTGTTTTGCCCTTGCTTATGCGCCGCCTGAGCCATCCTGGTCATTGGACTAGGTGCTCTCGTTTCTCTCTCCTCCTCGGTTTGTTGTGGCCCCTTCGGTTCAAGATTGTTTTGCAAAGGCTCTTTTCCTGTTGGCATTGGCCTCTGTTGGTTGGGTTGGGGAGCTTCATGCTCTCCTCCAGCGCAGAGGAGATACATTTATGCGTTATGAAGCAATATCGGATTACTACTGAAATCGCATTGAAGTCACCACACCTGGCAGGGGACTGTTTTCATACAAATGGATGATAGTAGGTTTTCATTTTTATTTTGCCCTATGCTCAATAAGCAATCTCTGAAGAAAGATTGACAAAGCTTAAATTACATTCTCTAGAAAGGCGAAGAAATAGATGTGACATGATAGAGCTGTGAATGAATGGACATGATAAAGGGGGAATATTAATAGGCTATTAAAATTATCAACACTAGACAGAACATGAAACAATGGGCATAAATTGGAATAAGTTTTAGATTTAGGAAAAAGACCTGGGTAAATACTGGTTCTGCAACAGGGTTTGAACTCATTTCTTATGTTAATATGTAATTTTAGCTATAAAATGATCTTAGACAATAGGAAACGGTACGGTAATACCTTATTGAGAAAAAAACGAGCTTATAATGATTAACGCCATTGCACATTAGGCTCGGCAGAAGACAGCATTTGAATCCCCCTTTGCTATAAACATTAAAAATGGGAATAAACACACTACAACAGAAAACAGACTTATTCAGGGAAGAAGAATACGGAGTGACCATTAGCAATGCCTGTGCGGGGTCGCTGAGGTAACGAAAAATGATGGGGCCAGGAGCTGGCCTTTTAATCCCCAGGTAAGTTGATGACGTCATTGACCATTAGCAATGCCCGTGCATGGCTCAGCGGGGTAACGAAAAAACATGGGGCCAAGTCGTGTCCGTCAAATCGACTGGGGCAACGAAAAAACATGGGGCCAAGTCGTGACCGTCAAATCTCACTGGGGCAACGAAAAAACATGGGGCCAAGTCGTGACCGTCAAATCTCACTGGGGTAACGAAAAAACATGGGGCCAAGTCGTGTCCTTCAAATCTCACTCGGGCAACGAAAAAACATGGGGCCAAGTCGTGTCCGTCAAATCTCACTCGGGCAACGAAAAAACATGGGGCCAAGTAGTGTCCGCTGAAAAAAACAAAACGGACACGACTTGGCCCGGTTTATACTACTTGCGCTGGACATAAATGTCCAGCGCAGAGGGTTCAGCTCTTTTGGTCCTGGTGGTAGGTTTGTTCGGTTGCAGTGGTCTCCTTCTTTTCTGGTGAAGAATGAGACTGGTGCTTTCCGGAAGAGTCCTTGGGTTGTTGATGCTTGGTTGGTTCGGCCGGAGGTGCATCATTTGTTGGGTCCGGTTGCGGATGTTCGCCGTTACCTGCACACCACGGACTAGGTGGCCGAGGACCAGGTTTGGGTTGACCAGGTTTCCCTTCTTCCCTATTCCTGGCTTCGGGTTTCCCGAGTCGTCTGCATAGTTATTCGGTCCAGCCAACCTGCGGTCTATCCTTGTGACCATGACGTTCGTAAGTTTGCTCCTTTAGCTGCCGTCTTCGGTAACATGTCTTGGGCTGACATTCGGGGGGACCCTGTTCGACCTTCATTGGGCATGGAGATCGAAAAGGGTCCTTGTCACTTGCAACCTTGTCAGTGTTCCTGGCCCTAGTCGGGCACATGTCACATTGGGTTGGCTCCCGAGTAAGTCCTTCTTGTTTTGTCTTTAGTTATGTAGCTCCGGGGAGCTGAAGGGGCTCACCCCCAGAAAACCAGCAATGAATGTAATGAAACTCCTTTTTTTGGGTGAGACCTGGAGGCTCCTTGGCAACCTTCCGGTCGGTGTTTTTTTCATGTGTTTTGACATCCAGCCTCAGAACTAGGGGTTTGGATAGCTGGCAGGGGTCTGGGGTTCCCCCTTCTCCCTCCCAAGGAGGGGGGAGTTGCTCAGACGTCGGCGCGGTGACGGTTGTGACGTCAGGCCTGTTTGCTCGTTTTTCATCTGGGGTAGTTCTGTCCAGCAGTTCGGCTTTCAGTAGCAACATTTTAACTAGATAGGGTTTGTTATGGGGCACCTTCCTTTCTGGGTACCTGACCCAATCAATGGAAGACATAAAATGCCTCCAACCACACAAGAGTTTCTACAGGCCATTGCCCTGTGTGCCTCTCTGAGGAAGCCAGGGTCTGGCTCATGGTCCCAGTAGGCCAAGAACTCTAATTCACTCTGACTGATGCCACGATCTAATACATCCTTATCAGCCTGGATAGCTCAGGGGATCCTCCAGGTCTCATCCAGAAAATGGCATTTCATTACATTCAGTGCTGGTTTTTTACCAGGTTGGGTTTGTTTTGTTTTGCCTACTTTTCTGGGTGCCAAACCCCAATCGATGCCAGACACGGACTGCTTCCAATTACGTGGAGGATTCCATAGGCCATTGCTCCTCGTGCCTCTTTGAGGGGACCAGGCTCTGGCTCATGATCCTTGATAGGCAAGAACTCTAATCGACTGATGCCACAATCTAATATGTACATATCAGCTCAGTAAGCTCCATGAAGCCTCCGAGGCTCAGCCAGAAAATGCAGTTTCATTACATTCAACGCTGGTTTTTGGTCAGCTATTAAATAACCTACTGGGCACTTATTTTCAAAACCATTTTGTGGTGTGCACAAACACCAGTGGTGTGACTGATAAAAGTAACTAATGTGATAAGCAATATTACTTTACAAAAAAAAATTATAAATTTTATTAAATTCATGATTATTTCAGTTGTGCATGAAAGTCACTATAAATAACTAATAACTAATTTATTGTTGAATGTTTATTTCTTTGGGGGGTAGATCTTCTGATGGCTGGGGAGATGACAACTGGACAAATGACTGGGGCAGCAGTAACAACAGCAAGGCATCCTCACCTTCACAAAATGCAAATGGGTCTCCTGATCCCTCCCCAAATGCCCGTGTCTCAAAAAAAAATGCCAACAATATCAGTAAGAAGAGTAAAGGCACAATCAAAAAGGTACAGTATAAAAGATTTCTTGACAAGAATGTAATCTGATCTCTAATTTAGGATTTATATTATAAATATTCATAAAGTTAATTTCTTTATAAGTCATTCCTGAAGGGATTTAAGACTTTTATTAGCAAATCAGTTCTGCAAAATAATTTAAAGGGAGTAGTGCTCTAATATATTAGAGATGAATACAATATGGTACTTAGAATTATTCTCTACAAAATATTAGAAATTTATAGTTTTAACCCCTGCACTACACACTCCATGACAACTGCTGTGCACAAGAATTTTTTTTTTTTCTTTCTGACATTGTAAAAATGCATTCCTTGATCATGAGGAATAAAAATAGCTAGCTTGCTTTCCCTCTTTCTTTTCTTTGCTGATGGAGTGATGTAAATTTTGCGATGTCGTTAAATCGTGATTATTCCAGAAGCGAGCACCCCGGCAAGGTTGTGAGGGGCTATTTAACACTTTCGCCCGGGCATGATGCAGCATTGCGTCATCCGTTTTACTGTCGGTAATGCCGGGGATGACGCAGCATTGCGTCATCCGTTTACTGTCGGTAATGCCGGGGATGACGCAACATTGCGTCATCCGTTTACTGTCGGTAATGCTGGGGATGACGCAGCATTGCGTCATCCACTTTAAATAATCACCAAAAATCAGGTTTTTATCCGATTTTTTGGGGACTGGATTTAAAATGCGCGCCGATGTTTTCCCATTTTCCTTGTTGCACCTCGTGGCCCGCAGGCAGCTCGGCACACGCCGTCGGCCCATTGATTTCGCTCCACTGTTGTGACCAATGTCGCCTCCCCTCGCATCTCAAACGTGTGAACATTTCAGCTATTTTCCGTGGCTATATTTCTTACTGCGGCTTTAGAAACTATCTACGCTTACTCCACGATGGATAGTGATCATGAACAAGGCCCTTCCAGGAAGAAAATTGCGAAAGAAAAGCTTGAAAAGGGCGGGAATTGGGAGTGTAGCTAGAAGGCGTCTGAGTGCTCACTCGCGGCTAACGCGTGGCCCGTCTTCAACTCGTCGGCGGTTGGAGCGTGACCAGGTTTTTTATTTTATATGCAAATGTTCCTCTAGAGAATTCTATTGCGAACCCATTGAGACCAAAATGAAAGACCTAGGACGAAAATTGAGGTGACCAGAGTGAAAATAGTGAAAACATTTGATCGCGTTTGCGCGCTCCTGCGTAACTCGTTTGCACTTCCTCTGTTTGCTGCGGGTAATTAGCCAGGCTTTTGGAGTTTATATGCAGTTAGTGCTGTAGAGAATTCTATTGCAAACACAATGATACCAAATTTAATCTCGTAGGACGAGAATTAAGGTGACAAAGTTGAAGAGAGTAGACACTTCAGAATTTACGCACGCTCCTGCGACACCCTGGGACCCAAATCACACAGTTGAGGGGTGGCGCGCTGGGTACACCAAAGTGTTAATCAGTGGAAATTGCTGCGAATAATTTTTCTGCTTTATATCAATGTCACCAATTTGTTTTCTCACTTTTTATTTTGATGCAGTTCTGTTGTGCACTAGGAAGTCATTTATAGTTCTTACATACTAAAATGTGTAGAACATAGATACACACGTGACTGAATGTGTGTCACTAATATGATACCTGGTTGATGGGGTTCTGGGAGTTCTTCTACTCCCCATGCTCTCACAGGTATTGACTTGTCAGAGTTTAGTCTACTAGGCTGTTGCTTGCAGCGGCCCACATATCCACCACAGCCCGGTTGGTCCAGCACTCCTAGAAGAAAATTATCTAGTTTTCTCTTGAAGATGTCCGTGGTTGTTCCATGGACATCCATGTTCCATGTCCCCCCCTTCCCCTCCCCTCCCTTTCCGGCTCATATATAACGTCTGTATATAGTGAATAAAAGCAAAAACAGTATTGTGGGAAGAGAATGTGGGTGAGTCAGGTGAGGTGAGGAAGGGAAGAAGTACCAGCCAGTGGCCGCTGCCATCCACTGCCACTCAGCATACTAACTTAGTAGTTCGTTATGGTGAACACCAATGTAGATACTTATATATAACGTCTGTATATAGTAAATAAAAGCAAAAACAGTATGGTAGGAGGAGAATGTGAGCGAGTGAGGTGTTGAAGGAGTGGCTGGCTGGTGTGTGGCGGTCACTTCTCGTTGCTTTATGACTCGCTATACCAACTTGGTGGTTCATTATGGTGAGCAAAACATGTAGATACTTATATATAACCTGTGTATATAGTGTAATAACCGACAAAGTATTTGTTCATTGTTTGATGAACATAATAATTGAATCAACAATATGCACACCATATTTTTGAGTACAGCAATGATTCACACATTTTATTATATAAATATATCACACTACACACTATTGAATAAAATTACAACAAAAAAACTACAAAAAATCAGAGACATTGAAATAATTAGGTAATTATCCCTTTGTGGCCACTCCTGCCTGACAGCTGGGAGCAACAGACCGCCTGGGACGCACGCTGAGTTAGCACCTGTTTTTTGTCAGACTTCCTCACCCTATAGCGGGCAATATATGCCACTTATGATTTTTTTATTATTTTTCCCATGATCAGAGAACACAAATTAACAGGTTGAGAAGAATTTTTTTTATGCGCCTGTGGGTGACAAATGCTAATTAGCCCTGAGAAACACGAGGATTAACCTTCTACTCTTTGCCGTCTTGATGCTTTGCACCATACTGGGTTGCGCCACAGTTCTGGTGCCTTTCGTTCGACTCCCGTCCTTAGCTTGTATGTTGACACTGGCTTCCTGTCTCTCCAGGACCATGATCGCTACTGTTTTCGCTATCTTGCACGGTCCTTACAACATCCTTCCTCTCGCCTCTGTCGTGCTTTAACTTTTACCCCTCCTGCAGTTTCTGTTCCTCTTCACCACCTCCCTCTTTCTGTCCGGTTATCTCGCTTACAGGATTCTCTTTCCGTTCGTGTTTCTAATGTTTCTCCTCGTGTTGTTCCTTCTTTGCCCCCGTGGAGAGTCCCCCTTCTGCAGTTTTGTACATCCTTGACCTGCATCACTAAAGCTTTTACCCCTCCTACGGTTCTAAAATGCCTTTTCCTTGAGCACTTTTCTTCTCACTCCCGCTCTGTTTCTGTCTTCACCGATGGGTCTAAGTCTGCGGATGGTGTTGGCTACTCTGTTGTTTTTCCTGGTCGCACTTATATGTGTCGCTTACCTCCGGAGACTAGCATCTTTACAGCGGAGCTTTATGCTATTCTCTCTGCTCTTCGTCTCCTGCTTTCTCGTTGTCAGTCTTCCTTTATAGTTGTTGTTGACTCGCGTAGTGCCCTCATGGCTCTCGGGTCCTTTAATCCGGTTCATCCAGTAGTTGTCAAGATCCAGCATTGGCTGTTTCTTGTTCACAGTAAATTTAAGTCAGTTGAGTTTTGTTGGGTTCCCAGCCATATTGGTGTGTCTTTAAATGAGCGTGCGGATGCTGCTGCCAAGGAAGCTGTCCGCTCTTGTCCCATCTCTCGTAAAGGTTTTCCATATTCCGACTTTTACCCGGTTATCCATTCCTCCATCCTTACCTGTTGGCAGGCTTCTTGGTCGTCTGTTACTGGTAACAAACTACGTACTCTTAAATGTTGTGTTTCCTCGTGGCCGTCCTCCTACCACCGTAACCGGCGATGGGAAACAGCTCTGGCGAGGTTGCGTATTGGCCATACTCGCTTAACCCATGGTCACTTGATGGAGCGCCGCCCTGCTCCTTATTGTTCTAATTGCATTGTCCCTCTTACAGTCGTGCATGTCCTTCTTGAATGTCCTGACTTCCTGGACAAGCGTGTGTCTTGCTTTCCGACCGCCCCTCGCGGTCGCCTGTCCCTCAATAGAATTCTTGGTGACTCGGATACTTTTGATATCGTTCGGATGCGTTTTTGTTCTTGTATTGGCATCCTTGGTGATATTTAGCGCCCTCTGATTATTCCGCATGTTTGATGGTGCTAAATAGCCTTCCCGGTTTGGTGCCTTCTTTTGATAATTACTTACTTACTTTCATTCTTGTAAAGCCACTGGCATGCATAGCATTTCGACTAAGTCCTTAATCCTAATTTTTCCCTGGAATACGACACACCAAATCGTTTAACAACCAGGTACCCATTCACTACTGGGTGAACAGAGGCTACAGTTAAGGATTGGCACCCAGTAAATCATTCCAGGCCAGGATACAAACCCAGGTCAAAGCACAAGCGAAATGCAAGGCAAGTGTGTTACCACTACATCACAGAGACTGTGGATGTAAAAATTCACACAGTAAGAGTGTGAATATCAGGTTCCTGACTGTAATTTATTTTCTGCTGTTATGGCTGATTAGTGTAAGAAATAGCATTTACTCGGAAAAATAATGCCGAAAAAATTTCTTGTAATGATCATTTATTAGATGTTTGTACAAGTACAGTAGGGAAGGGAACTATCAAGGGAAAACGCCAAGCTATTACGACTATATAGCACTTGGAAGGGGTCGGGATAAGGATTTGGGATGGGACGGGGGGAAAGGAATGGTGCCCAACCACTTGTGGACGGTCGGGGAATTGAACGCCGACCTGCATGAAGTGAGACCGTCGCTCTACTGTTCAGCCCAAGTAGTTGGGTTGGATACTGTTCTGTATCTGTTGGGATGAATACTGTTCCTCTTATGACTCCTCAGGCTCGTGGGGTGGGTGACCAAGCCCACGAGTCGGACTGTGTTTGAAGACCAGGCTCTGTAGCCCTATATTCGTACTTAATACAGTTGTATTGTATTATTTTTATTTTATTTTTCAGGATGGAAAGGCAGAGCAGGAGCTACTCGTTGATCTTGGAAACAACGGCACCAAAGGCCACACTTGGGACAATTGGGATGATGATGACTGGGAGAAAGTGGAAGGACAGTGATATGAACTTCATTGTGACTTGATGCAGAACAAATAACTAGTTTAAAAAAAATTGACTGGAGCTTGGCATATGTTAGCTGGCTTTGATTTATATTTTTTCAGGTAATGGCAACATAAACTTTAGAAATTGTTTTAAATTAGTTCAGATATTTGATGTAATGTGGCTTGAACATATATACAAGCAAAATTAAAAGTGATGATAAATACTGTATGGTCCCAAAAAATAACTATAAAACCCATTTATTAAAACTAAAGGGACAATTAATGTGATAGAAATACACAATAAAATGCAGTATAGTACTGTACATAGAAAATATGAGCTTGGGTACTACTAAGAATTTGATGGAAAAGTAGACACAGATACAAGTGATGACAGAGCATTAGCTTCTGCAGTGTTTTATGTATAGTATGTTTGAGGTACAATCAAACATGATGAAAATTAACTAAAACTCAAAGGAGTGTTTTAAAGACAATAGTTTGCACTGATGCCTGTTAGATTTGTAAATATCATTAAAGCATTTAAACACTGAAACAACCCCTACTTGTTCATTCCACATAAAGTGACTCTTGGTGATTAAGTATGTCTTATCCTAGGGCTTTCTGTATTATCCCAAATAGGTAATACACTCACCAATATTTGATAAGGGAATGAATGTTTTAAAAGAACATTTTGTGTATGTGCAATTTTTTAAATTAGAGTATAACGATTACATAGTTATACTGTATTCTTAATGTCAAGGAATTAGAGAATAAATTTGCTTTAATTTTGTACTGTACCACAGTAGACCTACTTAGGAAGTATTGACAAAACTGCATATACAAAGCACCAGAACATTGATAAATATAGCTAATAAGGTTTTGAAATAGTATAAGATTTAACGTGTAACTGACTTATTTAACACACTGTACTTTCAAACCCATACTATACAGTAATATATAAGAGATTTTAATATGTCTGCTTATTATATATTCTAGAACTTAATTTGTTCATGTGTGTCTGTTTGGAGATGGTTTTGTTCAAGAATGAATACAATTTTTTTGTTTTTAATGTCTTGTTTCATAAGATTTTCCTAATTTAAAGAAAAATTAGTTGTTAATCATGTTTTTGGTAAAGGGATTTAATGAAAATATATTGGTAATGGGATGTAATAAAAAAAACAGCAAATCAACACTTTTTGTTTTGAACAATACTTCTGAGCAATACTGTACCTGTATTGCAGTACAGCCAAAGTTTACTATAAAATTCAGAATTGTGTAAAGGCTGATATGCACTGTACTAACAAAGTAAATAGCAATTAAATTTATTTTTGGTTAAGTTTCTAGTCCTGTGGAACATAATACTCCAGAAAATTTAGTATGTGCATGTATGTCGTTTTAACTATCTGGTACAGTATAATATGAATAAAACAGAGTTATGCAGATGGCACAAGGACTACAGATACATTGTACTATACATCAAGTTAGTGCATCCTTTTCCTGGATTCATCAATGCAAGCCTCTTACTAAGAATTATATTGTCAGTGTGTGTACTCAATAAAAGTTCTCAGCTTTTAATAAATCAGACTTTATATGTAAATGGTTATTGGTGATATTACTATTTAGTGATGTAACATGTAAATTAAAAATGTTTGTTTTTTAGTGTATCATTCCCTGTTCATTAAACCTAGAATGATCATGTAAAGACTCTCACAAATATATTTGCAGTTGTTTTGCTTCATTGTTCAATATTGGTAATAACTATTCCTTCAATGTATTTAAAGTCATTATTAGTTACACTGGCATATTTGTAAATACTGTTATGAAGTGTACCAAACCAGAAGCAAAGAATAATTTAGTTATAATATCAAATCAATATTACATCTCTTACTAAATAGTAAATCAAACTTTTTCAATATATTCTTGATCATTAGGTAATTGATAGCATGGATATAATAAATATTGGCCAAGAAAATTGTGTGTTCAGTTTCAAAAGAATTTTTAATGCAATACTTGTCTAAAAAAATTTGTCAGTATCACAAAAATATCAGTACAGTATTGTATATTTGTCTGTAACAGGTCTTGTATATTGTTATGCAAGTTTTCAGCTGGGGCACGGCTCCGGCAAGGTTACATATTAGCCATACCTGCTTAACTCACAGGCACTTAATGTAGCCCTCTCCGCCCCCTTTTCTCCCTTTCCGGTCCGTTGTCATCGTGAGGGGGCTTGGTGGGCGGCTCGTTGTTACCGTGAGGGGGGCTGGGTGGGTGGCTGCCAGAGTGTGATGCTCCTTGGGCCGGTCCCCTGTTCTTTTGTAGCCTCGTGCTCTTGCTGCTGTCCTCTCTAATTGTGCTGAACGACTTTTCCTTTTCCTTCAGTTTCGTTTTTCTCCCCCCTCTTCTATCTGCTTGTTGTTTCCTGCCGACCTTTTGCTTGTTTTGGTTATTCTTTTGGACTTCTTCTATTTTGACGCCCGGGTGCTTGAGGAGGCATACTCTTGCACCCGTAGAACTGTAGTACCCAACGTAGAGAGCAAGGGGAACCTTTTATTGTCAATCCTCCTTTCATCACTGAATCCGATCTCAACAAACTGACGGTTCTTAAGGTGGCGTTTGTGGGGCGTATACTCACAACACACCCCTAGGAGGCCCTGGCATGATCGGCGATAGCTTCTTGTTGGGTGTCCTGCCTCTAATTGTGGCTCCATGGTGGGTGTGGGGGGCACATTCGTGCATGAATGTTTCTTTTTCCGTACTTATGTTGATTTCTGTTCCTCCTTTACTTTCTCGGGCTCGTGGGGTGGGCGACCAAGCCCCTCGAGTCGGTCCGTGTTGGAAGACGGGTCTCTGTAGCCTCCGCTGCATTGGGCCCCGACCTTGCTCCTCCTTTGGCTTTTCTGACTACTTCCCTCGGCTCCCCTCCCTCTGTGGTTGGGTCGAGCCCCAAGCCCCCAGTGGTGACTACCTCGTCCCCTGGCATGGCTCAGTCTAGTTGTGACTACTGTGCCTTTTAAACCCTCTCTCTCTGGGGGTTCTCGACACGGCCGCACTCGCTCGATTCCTTCCCGTTCTGATGCCTATCAAGCCTTGTTTGGTCCCGCATTGTGGGCCAAATACTTTGATCTCCTCCCTCTTGATTCTGCGCCTCCTGACGATTTCTCCCTTCATAGGCACCTTGTTGATTCCGTAGATGCCTGTCACCTTCCACCCCACCCATCTCGGTACACGTGTCATTGCTGCTGCTCCTCAGGATGCGGCCTCCCGCTTGGCTGCTTTATCCTGCCTTGGCGAGACCCCTATTCGGGTCTCCAAGAAAGCTCGGTTGAATGCCAGTGTTGGCATTACTCTCCTGCCCCATGTTGCAACTGGTGTTTGGAATCTGCAGGACTGCCACGATGATATTCAGCATATCCTTGAGGCCCAGGGCCATTCTGTCCTCCAGGTAAACACGTTTACTCGTCCCCCTCGTGGTCGTCGCCGTCAGCCCCTTCGGGTTGTGAAGATTACTTTTTACTTTTGATGGTAGGACCCTTCTGCCCTCTTGTCATTCTTGCTGGTGCCAGGTGCTCTGTCCAGGAGTACATTCCCTCTCCTCGGCTCTGTAATAAGTGCTGGAGGTTTGGGCATGGTGCCCTCTGCTGCTCTGGGACTGTCTCTCTCTGTCCTTTGTGTGGGGGCGAAGGTCACTAAGTCGGAGTGCACTTCTCCCCAGGCTCACTCCCTCAATTGTGGTGAGGCCCACTCTACCTTCTCCCGCGCGTGTATACATTACAAGCTTGAGGCAGCCGTCCTCAGCTTGAAGCACCGGAAGTGTTTATCTTTTCCTGAGGTGAGGCGCCAGATTTGCCGGCTCCTGCCTTATGCTAACGTCTCTTATGCTTGCGTGTTGCGCTTTTCCTCTCCTCATCCTTTCCACCTTCCTCAGACTCAACCGTTTCCGGGCCTTGGACCCTGATACACCCACTGCCCCCTCCTCTGTTCCTTTGAGTTCTGTCCCGAAGGGTCCCCCTCCTGGTCCTCTGTCTGGGGTTCCCCTTCTTTCTGCCCGGTCTGTCAGTTCTCCTGTGTCTTCTTCCTCGTCGCCCTCCGATCCTCCTTCCCATCCTTCTCCTCCGTCTATTCGCTCTCCCCGCCGCCTGTCGGTGCTGGCTGATGTCCATCACTCTCCCAACGGCCGTCGTGTGTGCTCTCGTTCAGCTTCTGTTGAGACGCTGGAATCTGTTGCCCAGTACGTAGTTGCTGGGACACCTGTCTCTCTAAGTCAGAAGCGTAAGCCTGGCTCCTCTCTCTCCTCCTCCCCGGCGGGTAAGAAGGCTTCGCTTTCTTCCTCGGCCCCTACTTCTGACTCTCTCGCTCCTTCCCCCTCCCATTTCGGTGGTTGTGCCCCCTGTTCCTGCTATGGAGGTTTCTTTGGTCCCCGCTTCCCTCTCAGTTGCTGCCCTTGCTGGGGTGCGCTCCCCTCTTCTACTCCTTCTCCTCCTCCTCCTGCTGCTGACCTTGACTGCTCCTCTCGGTTGTCTCCTCCTCTTCCTCCTCCTCCGGACCCCTCCCGTCCACCTCTGGCCTGTTCTCCCACTTCCTTCCCTCTGTCTTTGCTCAGTTTACCCATGCCCCCTAACTCTGACTTTGCTGACCCTGATCCCAACCCTGATCTTCTTTAACGTGCTATGTATCTCTTTCGCCTTTGTTTCTTCCTTGTTCTCTGTTGTTGTCCTTTCTCTTCTCGTCGATGTCTATTCTTCAATGGAACGTTCGGGGATATTACGCCAATTTCCATGAACTCCATCTTCTGATTTCGCGGTTTTCTCCCCTTTGTGTCTGTGTCCAGGAGCCGATCCTTGGTGATCGTCCTGGTCGCTTTCGTGGCTATTCCTTTCTCTCCTTCCCGGCTCCTAACTCTTCTGCTCTCTTGATTTGCTCTGATGTTCCTTTTGTCCCCTTACTTTTTCCTTCGCCTCTCTATTGTTCTGCTGCTTGTATCTTTGTGGGGAAATGGTACACCGTTTGTTCCATTTATCTTCCCCCGAGTGTCCCGCTTTCTCTTCCCGATCTGAAACACCTACTGGACTCCTTGTTAACGTTCGCCTATGCTCCTGCTGGGTGATTTCAATTGCCGTCATTCCCTTTCTGCTCTCTCATTCCCTTTCTGCTCGTCATTCCCTTTCTGCTCTCTCATTCCCTTTCTGCTCGTCATTCCCTTTCGTCATTCTGCTCTCTCGTTGTCAATCTTCCTTTGTAGTTGTTGTCGACTCTTGTAGTGCTCTCATGGCTCTCAGGTCCTTTAATCCGGTTCATCCAGTGGTTGTCGAGATCCAGCATTAGCTGTTTCTTGTTCACAGTAAATTTAAGTCGGTTGGGTTTTGTTGGGTTCCCAGCCATATTGGTGTCTCTTTAAATGAGCATGCGGATGGTGCCGCCAGGGAAGCTGTCCACTCTTGTCCCATCTCTCGTAAAGGTATCCCTTATTTCAACTTTTACCTGGTTATCCATTCCTCCATCCTTACCCGTTGGCAGGCTTGTTGGTTGTCTGTTACTGGTAACAAATTGCGTACTCTTAAAAATTGTGTGTCCTCGTGGTTGTCATCTTACCACCGTAACCGGCGATGGGAAACGGCCCTGGTGAGGTTGCGTGTTGGCCATACTCGCTTAACTTATGGTCACTTAGAGCGCCGCCCTGCTCCTTATTGTCCTAATTGCATTGTCCCTCTTACAGTCGTGCATATCCTTGTTGAATGTCCCGTGCATATCCTTGTTGAATGTCCCGTGCATATCCTTGTTGAATGTCCATAAGAACATACATAAGAACAAAGGTAACTGCAGAAGGCCTATTGGCCCATACGAGGCAGCTCCTATTCTATAACCACCCAATCCCACTCATATACTTGTCCAACCCGTGCTTGAAACAATCGAGGGACCCCACCTCCACAATGTTACGCGGCAATTGGTTCCACAAATCAACAACCCTGTTACTGAACCAGTATTTACCCAAGTCTTTCCTAAATCTAAACTTATCCAATTTATATCCATTGTTTCGTGTTCTGTCCTGTGTTGATACTTTTAATACCCTATTAATATCCCCCCGGTTATGTCCATTCATCCACTTGTAAACCTCTATCATGTCACCCCTAACTCTTCGCCTTTCCAGTGAAGGTACCAAACCGGTCCCGTGCATATCCTTGTTGAATGTCCCGACTTCCGGGACGAGCGTGTGTCTTGTTTTCCGCCCGTCCCCCACGGTCGCTTGTCTCTTGATTGTATCTTGGTGACTCGGATACTTTTGATATCGTTCGCCTTATGCGTTTCTGTTCTCGTATTGGCATCCTTGGTGATGTTTAGCGCCCTCTGATTATCCCGTACATTTGATGGTGCTACACAGCCTTCCCGGTTTGGTACCTTCTTTTGATAATTACTTACCTACTTGGTGGGCAGCTGCTGGAGTGTGATGCTCCATGGGACAGTCCTCTGTCCTTTTGTAGCCTTATGCTCCTGCTGCTGTCTTACAAATTCTGCCAGATGTCTTTTCATTTTCCTTATGTTTCCTTTCTCCCCCCCCCCCCTCTTCTCATTTCTAATTGTCATTTCCCGCCGACCTTTTGCTAGTTTTGATTATTCTTTCAAACATCCGTTTTGACGCCCGGATGTTTGGGGAGGCACACAC